TTGTCCTACTGTAATTTGTGGTATTGCCGTTGTAATATTTTGTCCTTCTATGACCTGTAGCATTTCTGCTGTCATCTGTTGTCCTTCTGTCTTCATAAGGCATCCAACTACATCTAAGTGACCATTTTGAATAGCCCTTTGCATAGGAATCTTGCCATCACTATCAGTAGCTTTGGGGTTAGCACCCTTCTCTATAAGATATTTTACTACATCTAAGTGACCATTTTCTGCAGCGAAGTGAAGAGCAGTGCTATAACTCCACCCACCTTGGTAAGCATCAACATCAGCACCTTTCTCTATAAGGTATTTGATTATATCTAAATGACCCTCTTCAGCAGCTAAATGTAAAGACGTTCTACCAAATCTATTTTCTTGAGCATTGACATTAGCACCTTTATCCAATAGAAGCTTTGCTATGCCTAAAAGATCTCTCTTAGCAGCGATATGCAAAGGTGTCTTACCACGATTGTCTTTAGTATTTACATCAGCTCCCTTATCAATATACTCTTTAACCTTATTAAAATTAGATTGTTTTACAGCATTAATTAGCTCTAAGTTAAGCTGTTCTAGAGACATCAATGTTTGACTACTTTGAGTAGTAGCTTCTTGTAGCGTTTTGTTGTAAAGGTTATCCTCATAATCATCAAGATAATCTACAATCCCCTCTACTATATCCTTGGCTGCCTTCCTATTTTTCTTCGTATTTTTCTCATTACATACACGCCGTATATATAATATTAAATCACCCCAACGATTGGACTGACCTTTTTTGCTTCGCTTTGAACGATGGAGTTCAACTGCATCATCTCTTGACAGCGCATTTATTAATCTACTTGCTTCAGCATAATCAATTTTACCGCCTTGCTTTAAAACACCAGACTTTAGTAACTGAACAATACTATTTTTTTTAGTTATATCATTAGTGTGATCTATACCCATTTTACCCTCCTTAAATACGATAAAAATCACTTATACCACAAAGTTAATGGTATAAATAATTTATGTAAACGCTAAATATATGCTTATAGTAATATGAATATTTTTAATGTCAATAACTTTTTTAATAAATTATATGCAAAAGCATATTAGCTTGAAAGTCTGTAATCTATAGCTACTGTTTTTGCAATTTTATCATGAAAAAACTGCTTGCGTTTGTCAAATATTGCAGATACTATAATTAATATTATAGCTGTAAAGGTTAAATCTGATAAAGGTTCAAACCACCCTTCAGAGATGTGCTTATCAAAAAAATTAGAAACAAATGTAATAAGTGTAAAGGTTAGCATGAGACCAGCAGCTTCCAAAACGTATCTAATTATTGCTTGCATTAGAGTGATATTTTTCAGTGTATTTGCGTCTTTTATACAAATGTAACATAGTAATTGTCCTGGAGTACCACCAGCTCTTATTACCATTAGTACTTTAAATATTATTGATAGTAAAAAAAATAAGCAAGTGTATATAGTCAGTAGTTTAGATTCGGAATGGTCAAACATTATTATTATAAAATAATACACGAAAGAAGTTCCTATAATAATAGAACTGTCAATGATATATGCTACAATGCGTCTAGTTATTCCTACATAGTTTACATTTAAGTGAGATTCTTCAGGTTTATGACAATCCATCACAACTGTTTTTGCAATTTTATCATGAAAAAACTGCTTACGCTGATCAAAGATTGCAGGTATTAAAACCAATATTGGTAAAATGGAAAACCATATAGAAATGCACGAAGGCATCCACACTGGAAAAATTAAAAACCAATTAAAAATATACCAAGGTATCCACACAAGCACCTTAAGGGTAGTTCTTATCATTACTTGCATCAAAGTAATACTTTTAAGTGTATTTGCATCCTTGATATATATACCACATAGCAATTTACCTGGAGTCCAGCCAAGTTTTATTATCATTACTACTTCTAATATCACATATATTAGTTCTCCTAATATTAGATACACTAGATCTACTAACACCTCATCTTGCATCAAAGTTATGCCAGAAAAAATAATATCAAAAAATAACGCAAAAACTAAAAAAAACGTTGTTTGGTCAACTGCATATGCTATAACACGTCTATTAATTCTTGCATAATTTATTTTAACACTCATTTTTATACCTAACATTTTAATTTAATATATCACATTAGCATTAAATAATAGTATCTTAAATGCACAGTTCCAGAGTGTGATGGTGTAAGTTGAGTGTAAGTAACTTGAGTGATTTTACCCTGACAAAACCTACTCTTCAGCGTAACAAAAAATTCAATTGTTTACTATTTTACTTTCTCTAAAATTGTAAAAAACTCCTAATATCATGGAGAATGGAGATATAAAAGTTAATAAATTATAGAAAATAATAAAGATTTTAAAGAGATGATTGGGTATAAAAACACCAAATACCCTCATGCCTGAAGTTGGCCACTGTGGCGGATTTAGGCATATAATATATCTATAACAGAGGGCTATTCTTAACTTTTTTATGGTGGACCAAGCGATACAAATAAAACTCTTTCTCGGAATCATTATGCAAAATAGCTAAAATCAGCCATATTAGACAGCTTTTTAGTAATTTTTGTTTACATGAAAGTACATATATGTGTGAGAACGGAGAGGAAAATGTTATAAGTTTTAACGCAGTTGGAATCCCAAGTAAATAAACAATTTTCAATCAGTGCTAATTTTAACTTCAAAATATAAAAAATAATTTAGTGCAAAAAAACACTTGCGTTATTAAGTTTAATACCTATTATGTTATAGATCAATCATGATCAGTTTTGGTGTAACAATAGGGGGTTTTTATGTTAAAGACAAGGTATCCAGCAGGCTATTTAAAAAAAGAAGAATTTAATTCAGAAGTTAGTGAACAGCTAGATGAAGTACAATATACAAAGCAGTTAGTTAAGCAAGCTTTGCAACAAAGATCTAACTTAATACGTTTAAAACGTTCAGAAAGTGATAGTACTATAGACAGGAAGCCTATTTCTATTTTTCAAGAGATAAAAGATCCGTCAAAAAAACAAAATCTTGAGGGTTTATTAAATAAATTAAGAAGTTCTTACTCTGATGACCTTAAAATAGGAGTAGCAGTTAAAACAGGGGATTGCTTTTTTGACTCCGTAGCTCAAGGCTTGAATGAGTTAAAAGGTATGATCAAAAATAGTGAAAGGTTTAATGTAAAATCACTGAGAGAAGATTGTGCGAATAATGCTAAAGAATACAAAGATAAAATTATAAAGGATGCAAAGGACTATTTTGTCCCACAGAAAAATGTTGCTTTTCCTCATCTTAGTTCCATTAAGGATGAAAAAGGAAATGATGCTAAAAATGAGCAAGGTACTCTTGACAAATATTCGTACTATATTAAAAATATGGCTACAGAAAATGGTCCTATTCCTATATGGGGAAGACCTGAAATTGAAGGACAAATGATTTCTGATAAATACGAATTAGAACTTTACTTTTATTCAGTGAATGAAGAGGGTGGTCAAAAAATTACAGTAACTAAAATTACACCAGGCAGTGATGACCAAGAAGTTTTTATAGAAGGAGTGAATCTTGATGAGTTACATAAAGATAGTAATAAACAGGTCGTGAGAATAATAAATTACAAGCAGCATTTTGTACCACTTCTTAGTGGCCTAGAAGAAGACATTAAAGAAGCTATAAAAGTTTCTAGAAAAGAAGTTTATGGTTTAGAAGATAGGATTAGTCCTTCTTTGATTAAAGAAGATATAGGAAATTATGATCTTGAAGAAAATATTAATTTACATAATAATCAAGCACAACCCATTAAGTCTGATACAGAAGTTGTAATATCTCATGAAGGAAACCACTTTTCATATGCTTCTATTAGTCATTCTGTACATTCAGAAAATAGAGTGAAAAGAGCTGATAATGAACCTAAACCAGGGACTTCAAAAAATAGTAAGGATACTCCTACACAATCAAGTAGCAGTGTACAACATTCCGGAACTAATGATTTTGTCTGGGATCCAGCAGAACAAGCAATAGGTAATGCTTTGAACATGCTAACGAAATTTTATAAAAATCCTTCTGATAATAATGACAAAAAAGAAGAAGAGGAAAAGATAGAGGAAAAGATAAAGAGAAAGATTGAGGTTTCTCTCAAAGCTCTTGACAATTTAATAAAAAATACAGGAGATATAAAAAAATTTACCTATAAGAATGTGAATATTTTTGTGCTCTTCTTGGAAGCCTTTGCACTACAGGATGTAGAAATAAAGGAAATATTGCTAGGTCATGACAAAACTGCATTTATTAAAAAACATTTCGGAGAAGAAAATTATACATTGATCAAAGAACTGCGAACGCAGTATATGCACCGTAAAGAGGGAACAAAGTTTTTTCCTAAAGATCTAAATAAATTTGTCAAAACGCCCCCTCAAAAAGTAGATGTAGAAAGTTTTTTTCGTAATTTAAAAAATTACGTAAAAGAAGTGTATGACAAATGGGATCAACCGTCAGGTAACACAAACAACAAAGATATAACAAACATATTAGTGGCTGAGTTTAAGGTTAAGAAAAAAGGAAGTGAGGAAAAAATATTAAATATACTTGATGGATTAGTACAAAAAGCTTACAATAGAAAACAAACCTCAAAAGAGCAGGAGGAAATAATGTTTGATCTTACTGTAAACATTATTCCGCTTATTATTGATGATCTAAAAGAGGAATTCAAGGAGTTAATAGGTTTAAGAAATGAACTTATACATAATTTTCATAAGTATACAAATTTATCTTCTAGGATGCGTAAGCTTAAAAATGGTATGGACATCTCAAGATCTAAGTTATTTAAGTATTCTATCTCGCACAAAATGCATAACAAGTTGTCAGAGGCACCGATAGATCAAGAACCAGATGAAATGATAAAAGCTTTAGAAGAACAATTGGAGAGTTTTAATAAAAAGCCTAAACAAGAAAACTTACTTTTGTCAGAATGGGAAGCACAAGATTCTTATGAAAATGTTTTTTTAAAGTTATTATTTCCAGCAAAGGACGATGATATTGAAGGCCTAGTAAGCAAATACCTCAAGTTTATGGCTGTCATTGATGATGAAAAAAGAGAGGAGAAGAATCAAATTGATGATGACTGGGAAAGTGAAAATTCAGAACATTACAGAGAATTGAGTGATCTGGAAAGAAGGAAGATATTTGAAGATCTTGTAAAGCTAGAGGAAAAGAAGGAAGAGTTTGCAAAAGAAATTTTGTAATGAATATGGTGTAGAAGAAAGTGATTTTAATAAGATGATGATAGGGCTCTCTGTAGACAACGAACATGTAGACATGATTGCAGGTATTGTGACGAATTTAAAGAGTTTAAAGCATTTACAGGAACTTGGAAAAGATCAACTTTCGGATCAAGATATTATCTCCTTATATGATTGTGTTATGAAAGAAAAGGAAGATTTCCTTTTTAAAAATCATGAAAATTTACTAGGAAACCGTGAATTATCACGCCCTGCAGAAGAATCCATTGAAGAAATTCTTAACAATATTAAGAAAGGTGGGACTATAGATATAGAAGGTACACAAATAAATGTTGCTAAAGTTGTTCATAATATACTTAAAGTATTCTACAATGCGTATAATGAGTATCAAATTAAATTTGATAATATAAAAGAAGCATTTAGTGATAAAATATTTTTAGACTTTTTGGTGAAACGAGATGTAAAATTAGGTCGTGAAAAACAAAAATTCGAGCTTAAAAATCCAGATTATGTATATAGAATTATTAAAAA